GTTTCCGCGTTAGAAGCTCGGTCAGACTCGAAGTTATGGCCTTGATTTCACCCTTCAAATTTCCAGCAATTTGAACTTCTTCAGCGATATCTTCGTCGGTGACGCCCTCCACTTCCACAAGGTTTCTCAAAATTTCTTCGTCTAGCTTTCTTAAGTTCTCGAGCTGCTCTTCAAGCGCTGCTTTGAGTTGCGCGATTCGTAGTCTTGATTCTGCAGTAGGCTGGGCCTCGAGGTAGCCCTTAGCTTCTGGCAAGACTTGACTCACATAAGCCTTGTGTCCACCTCGTGTCTTTCGTTTGGTCTTCACCGCGGCTTCTGCCATGTCCAATCCTTTTTTGTCTTTCAAAGGCGATCGTTTCAATCAACTCACAGTATCCGGCTCGAAGGACCAAATGTCCGAGATTACTCCCGATGCTGGTTCACAATCAAATGAGGACTGTATATTTCCAAGCTATAAAATGCGTTTATTCGTAGATTCACAGTTCTTTACAATTCCGTTCCGTTCTGATACGTTCTAATTCGTTCTAATTCGTTCTAATTCGTTCTTGGAANTTTCCTCGACGGACTTTTATATTGTTCTTTCATCCAAGATTATTAAAGCAGAAATAAAAGAATTTGAGGCCATTCTTTGTTCACCCGAACATGTTAAGCGTCACGGCTTAGGTCACGCACAGGTCAATAAACTTGATAAATTGCATACGTTGTCTATACCATGAATGCTGTGAATGATCCAAATAGCTTTCTCTTTCTTCATTTAAGCACGAAGATTTTTTAGTATATTTGGTGAGAAGCAACTCACCACATCATTAATTTAGTGTAAGTAGCGGCGTTTTAGCCAACACTGTGATTGTTTTCGAAATGTTCTGAAGTTTGTAAATCCCCCACAGCCGTGTTAACATGTTTGAAGAGACACGCTGGCACTTAAAAGGTAGTTAAGAAAGACTAAAAGATTAAAAACTACTTTGCTTTACATTCCCAGCTTCACAGAAGAAACATGACGATGCTGACGTCACTTAATTTTTTCCGTGTATTTTCGACAAACTGACTCTATAATTAGCTTGAAATGAACATCGAATTCTGCACGCTTACATGGCACTTGGGTGGCATCACGTTTTATGTAACTACCAAGACGAGATTTAATTTCCAACGGTCAAACTCTCCAGGTGTATAGTTTGATAAATGAGCTCTCGTCTGATATGGTTTTAATGTCGAAATTTTTAGGTACCAGGTGTCGTTTAAACCGGTTAAACTTAGCCTTCATTTTGTCTCCTGAAAAGGCGTGCAAAATACACCTTTATAAAAACGGCGATAAAACCCATACCGAAGAAAATTACAAGAAAATTTTTACATGCATTTACTGTGCAGTGATATTATAGTTACTGTGCAAAGTTCGATGGTAAATGGACTTGGTTTGCGCTGCCAACATTTTTCTAAAGTTGCGTGACGATTTGACCGTTTAGGCAAGGCGAAAACGGCTTTTTTAAGGAATTTTCAAACTTTTTTAAATATCAGCTGGAAAGAAAATCGCTGGAACTTAAAAATATTTTTTTCGAAACTAGTTCACAGAAAGGGATGTTTTGGCAGAATAAAAAAAATTCGATTTTTCGTCACTGATTTTCAATTCTCGAAATATTCTGGCGGCCTCTCTTAAAATTGACCCACCTTTCCGATCTTTTCGACCATTTTGAGCTCGCTCTGACCTTTCAGGCGACCAGGATTGGGAACGCGACCTGGAATTAGTAATGCAACTTTGATCATGATAGCGTATGAACTGTAGTGAACAACAAACATGAACCGAATGTAGATTACGATATCAAACTTAACCTATTTAACCTACCGTCTGTCGCGATCTATCTCCTTTTTTTTCCCATTTGTAGATTATAACTGTTCGATTGCTCTTCGACACTCCAAAAACACACCGACACGTCACTCGAGGCAGACAGTCACAAAGAGACGAACCAGACAGTGATGACATAATCGGGGGTGGAAGCGGAATAATTGGATCTCACTTATTCATTGA